ATCAGAACATTCTAGATGACATCTGTGGCTCCTGGTGTATTTCTATTGGATAGTACTGCTCTAGTCTCTGGTTGCCAAGATGTATGAAACTCTGCTGTATACTAAGTGCCAGGTGGGCTGGGGTGTGGGCACAGAGAGACCCCCAGGGCCTCAGATGACGTGGAAGCCTCTTACATGGAGAAAGGAGGGTACTCGTTTGGCACAGAGTGGGGGCTTTAGTCCTTCCCATCCGGGTGCCCCTTTCTCAACCCCGCCCTCTGCCATGTCCCTTCCCTCCTCTACAGAGTCACAAAGGGTCCCCCAGTGCCCCACAGAGCCAAGCTGGAAACCACGGGCCGGGGCTGAGCATCTGAATGGAATCTTGAAGAAAGAGTAAGGTCTCACCTTGGAGGATTATAGAGGGACCCCAAGTGTATGGTCAGGCCTGCTGTAACGGTACCACAAACTGGGTGGCTTCAACTGAGAGTTGCTGTCACATAGTTCTGGAGGCCAGATGCCTGGGGCGAAGGTGTCAGCAGGGTCGGTTCCTTCTGAGGGCTATGAGGGAGAGTCTGTTCCATGCCTCTCCCATGGCTTCTACTGGCTTGCCTGTGATCTTCGGTGTTCCTTGGCTTCATCTTCACATGGCGTTCTTCCTGTGTCTGGATTTCCCCCTTTTATAAAGACACCAGTCAGTCATATTGGATTAGGGGCCCACCCCACTTCAGCATGACCTCATCCTAATTTAACGAATTACCTCTGCAGTGACCCTATCTCACAGGGACTGGGGTGGGGGAGGACTTCAACATAGGAATTTTGGAGGAGCACAGTCCAACCCATAAGAGCCACAGGAATGAGCAGGAGCAAAGGCTGGTGCACGAAATGACTGGAGAAGTTCAGCTGGAGGGGGCTCTCCAGGGTTGAGGGAGAGTGTGGGCTGCTAACCTCGGAGAATCTGGGACGTGTCATAAGATGGAGAAGATTGAATTAGGGAGCTCATAAGAGAGTAGTTGGAGTGAATGAATGCATGAGTGTTTGAGGGGACCCCCATGTGTCCTCATCGTTCCACTGCCCTCCAAGGAGGCAGGAGTCCCTACTCTGTTCACTGTGGTCCGCCATTGGGGGCCTTAGTGCCAGAGGACAGCTGGAAGGTTGTGGGTGTATCCCCAACCCCTCCCTCACCCTGTGTTCCTCCTGCAGCAGCCTCTCTTGGAAGGGGTGGTCTGGAGCACCAGCCCAAGGAGCACAATGTTTGGACGTGGGCCTGGGGGGCCCAGACTCTTCTGCGGTGCCTAAATGGGGGGTGGCAAGGTGGTCTCAGAATTATGCCTGGAGCTTGTCCGGTTTCTCTCTCTCTGGACCCCTCCCATGGCTGGGTGTCCCCGTGTGTACCACCCTCCACCCCTGTCCCTGCCCTAGCACTGCCAGTACCGAGACCCCTGGGCCCCGGCCCAGCCGTTCCTTAGCCAGAGGCTTCTGTAGGGCAGTGGATGGTCTTCAAATCCAGGAGCCTCTATCTGCTCCCTGGGCCCATGCATTCCAGGCCTGGGGACTCTCAAGGAGGCCAACCCTCTGCCACCTCTGGGCAGGGCCACCTGGGGAGTACAGGCCCCCCTCCTCTCCTCTCTCAGCAAACCTCCACCTGCAGCAGCTTTTCTGTTGCCCCAAATGAAAGTCTCCACAGGTGAACCCTGGGGATGAATCTACTTCCCTTTCCCCCCAAGGTTCTTCTGGGGAGAATGTTACCATCCAGCCCGTCACAGAGAAATACCATGAGTCACTGGTGTGTCAGGAACGGGGACAGGCAAAGGAGTATGTGGAACCTGATAATTATGCCCATTAATCCCACTGAAAAGGCTTCCCAGCTGGCAGGCACTTCCGCTTGGATCTGGGTGGGAAGGTCCTGGCAGCTTCTGACCAGCTCCTTCTGGAGACCCAGAGCAGTGGAAGGTGGGGGAGGGCCTAGCACTCATAGGCTCCCAGGTGGCCCAGCAGAATTCTTGGCTCTTCAGAAGATGACATGGTCCCACCTCCCTCTTAGATGACTTTGAGGGAGCGCAGAAATGTGGCGCTGATTCTCTGAGCGCAGGCCCTGTCACCTGCCCTGATTCACTCAGCCCCAACTACATAGATCCTCTTGCCAACCCCAGAAGAAGCCATCACACCCCTCAGGACCACCACAGGTGTTGGTTCTGGAATATTCTTCCTCAGGAGCCACCTGTTGCCTCATCACCCACTTCCCGTCCTCTCCATTTTACCTCCTCAGAGAAGCTCCCCGACCACCCAGTGTGGAATGGTACATTCACCACCCCAAACTCCTTAACCCCCTTGCCACCCTTAATTTTTCCCACAGCACTGTCTGCATCTGACACACTAAACATCGTGTCACCTGTTGGCTTATTGTCACTGTATCTGTCTCCCTCTGGTAGCAATTGTCATCGGGGCAGAATCTTTTTCGGCTGGTTTGTTGTTGAACCCTAGCACACAGCCTGGCAGGGCTCTTTGATAAATACAGAATAACATAATAAATATTTGAAATATATCTGCCTATATAATAAAATAAAAATAGCTTGGAGATAAAGGAAACATATCCTCAGTCAGCTGTGAGGTACGACACAAGCGACTTGCGATGATTGATGGAAAAGGAGTCATACCTTTGATTTCACAAACTTGGTGTGAAAGGAAGAGTTTGTTTCCTTCTCTTCTTTTAATTGAGCCTTATCCACCAGCTGGTGGGAAACTGAGTCTATCATTCCCAAAGGGCCTTCCAACCACACCTTCCCCCCACCGCTCCAGGTTTGTGGAGAACAGTGCAGTTGGGGGCTCCCAGGGCCACACCGGCCTTAGTCAGTCTGTTCACTGCCCTCTGGAGGCTCCCAGAGCCATGGGTCCAGTCTCCAGGGGTGCCCCATGCTGTGGTCTTTCTAAGGTCCTGCTGTCTGTTTAGAGGGAGATGTGGTGGGGGAGCTCCAAAGTAGGAGGCAGGCTTCCTGGACTTGAGGCATCTTCTGCCCCCCTCCTAGACCAGAAGGCCGTGACTTCCCCTCCTGGATGCCTAGCACAGTTTCTTCAGGGAGCCGGGAAGCTTTCAGCCCCCACAACCCGCAGGGCCCTAAAGTAAGAGGATAAAAAGCCCAGCTCCCTTCTCGGAAAGGGGGAGGGAATAAATAATTCAATAGATTATCCTCCCACAAAAGTTAAGTACTGGTGTTTTCTGAATGACTTTCTTCTTTTATTATTTTTTTCCCCATGGAGTCAACTCAAGGTTGTCCTGGCAATAATAGCAGGTCAGGCATTTACAGTCCTATTGCTGGCTTTGCCAGTGGGCGAGGGGGCAGGGAAGGGGTGGTCACAGGCTCCAGGGACCTCACCCCCCTGGGCTGCCTCGGTGTGTGCCCCCCGCAGTGCTGAGCTGGTCTGTTTTGCCTGAGCTAGCCCCCAGGACAGAAGACCCTCAGGTGTGCTGCGGGCAGCAGACTCCTGGGGATGGGATCCAGGACGTCTCCTGAGCTGCGACAGATGAGGCACACTGTCTCCCTCTGTGGACAGGGGCCCCCCAGGGGTGGGGGTGGGGCGGGGGTCCCCAGACTGCATCCAGCATGCAACATGGCGCATGTGGTCTGCACAGTGTTCCCACTTAGAACTCATGGACGCTCTTAAACACTGGGGCGACCTAGACACCCACAGAGGGATCTGGGTGGGCGTCGTGGAGACAGCTCACCTCCCTGATACTTTGGTCAAGGACCCTGGGGGACATCCTAGACAGCGCTCCTCGTTTGAAAGATGCCAGAGAGTTATGCAGATTTGCCTCAGGTCGCTTGGCTCAATAGTGGCAGCTCCGGGTTGACGGGACAGCAGCTCCGACAACCATTGCCGTCCCCTCCCCTCAGCTTAGAGGCTATTTATTATCAAGAGTTTTATTAAAAATTTTTTTCTCCTTCATTTGTCTCTTTTCCCCTGAGTTTACCTCCTTTCCCCCCGCCTTTTTTTGGCTATTTGTTTTGTTCTCTGACTTTGAAGTTTAAGGTTTTCTCACATGTGGTTGGTGGCCTGTCATTGCTTATTCATGCTTCAGGGCAAGCCAGTCTCCAGAAGGTTCACCAGAGCTCTGTGAGGTGGGCACTGTCTTAGGACATTGGTTCTCGGCTGGGGGCATTTGGCGACCCCGGGGATGCGTGGTGACCTCTGCAGACATTTGCGATCGTCCCAGTGGGACAATGGGGAAGGAGGTGCTCCTGGCATCCAGACAGTAGAGACTGGGGGGCACAGCTCAGCCCTGCACTCCCGCCCTCGGTGGCCTTGGGCCCCCAATTTCAGAGCCTTCTTGAGTTGTGCACGCGGAATAGATTGCCCTATAAACAGCCGGGCTCCACTCTCTCCGGTCTGGGGGACTTAGTTACCCGTCTGCTCTTCGTCTTCCATGGGCTTGTTGCTGGCCCCCCTTTCCATCGCCTCCTCTCCATGCTCGCATCCTTATTTATTCCTTTGCTATCACTGCAGGCGGGGCTGGGGACGGAGCAGAGATGACCATGGGTGTTGAGTCCTTCATCTCGAACCAGGAGGTGTATCCTTATGCCTCGGAGCCCCGGATTTCATTAAAAGCTTTGCAGTGTGGCCTCTGAGAACAGCCAAGCGCTGGCGAGTGACAGCTCTTTGGGTCTAAGTCTCCAGCACGGTAGGGGGAGGGTTTAAGAACGCACCACAGAGGAGGTAGCTATGAAGAATGCACCACAGAGGACCTTGACCTTGCTAAGCCTCAGTTTCCCTGTGTTTACAGTGTGTAACCTCAGCTCTGCTGAGAGAGGCGGAAGGAGGGCACCAGGTGTAAGTGAGCAGAGAACACGATACAGGGCTGTGGTTTATGACCGTCCCCCTCGTGGGTGGGCATCTGCTTTATCTCCAGTAAAGGTGTGATCACGGCGACGTGTCCCTCAGCACAACAACAGCAAGAGGCGCTGTGGTTAGGTGGGTTTCATCGAGTGTGTGAGCCTTGAGTACCAACTGCCTCATTTTCTTGCCAGAGGCCTCCAGTTTGGCTGGCAGAGTGGCGACCCGCTGGCCAATTGGACGGGGCTCTTTAATGTCACGGACGACCCAGCAGTGCAGAGCGGCAGTGACTCCAGCTCCAGGTACAGACCCCAGTGAATGGCCTGGGAGGGGGGTAACCCCGTCACCAGGTGGCCTCATAGCCCCTGCCCTGCAGTCCACCCCCAGAACTACCCTCAGGGAAGAAGCAGGCTCAAAGCTCACTGCGTTTTGGCATCCCGCCTTGTCTCCTCTGACATGAGGGCTGAGGGCTAGGACCCAACCACAGCACGGCAGGGACGCCCTGGCCCCTCTCAGTCAGAGAGCGGGTAGCTGGAAGGGGTGCAGTGTGGGTCTCAAGCTTTCCTTAGGAGTCGGGGCTTTTGCTGCGTCCCTGCTGCAGGGGTTTTGGAGGCCGGCCTGCAGGTGTGTGTAGGTGTGTGTGTGGGTGGCATCCGGGGTGGGCGTGGGGCATGGGCTCTGCTCCTTGGATGTCCCACTGCACGGGCTGTTCCTACCCCGCCCCCAGGCGGGGCTGACCTTGGCTAGGGAAGAACCATTCCCTCAATGTCAAATGCTGAGATTTGACATTCAGACCATAGCGTGGTTTTCCCTTACTGCTCTGCTGTCAGGTTGGGCGTGAAACAGTAACGCAGGGCACTCCGTAAACCCAGGAGCTCGGGGTTTGTTGGATGCATGAAATGCAGGGTGCTCCACTGGAGGACAGTCAAGGCGGGGAGGGCAGCGGGGGGAAGTCTTTCAGGCAAGGCAGAATGCTTTCTCTGGGTGTGGCTGGAACTTGCCAGCTAAGGGTTTCCAGGGGCCAATTAAGTTGTTTGGGCCCTTAATTTTTGCATTTCTCAGGATGCACTGACTCTGAGGTCTGTTTCCCTGGGAAAGTGGCCTGAGTTTTTGTTGCTGTTAATTTTGACACTGAAACATTAAACTGACCCCACAGAACACACAGAAGAGAAGTAATGTGTTTTTCAGGGACCCTTCCCATGTGTATGATTCTGTTCGGTGCTTTGAAAAACTAAGGATGTGGTTCCAACGTCAGAAGAATGTCAGCGGGGGCAGTGTTCACAGACAGGCCTTAGGGTGTGGGCCAGTCTCGGGGACCCGGGTCTTATCCTGGCCAGTTCTTTCCATATATGTGTGATGGAGCCCCAGCCAGCCGCTCGGCCCCTGGGATGTCACCCGGGAAGAGCAGGGTGTCCAGAGTTGTCCCTTCCCAAGTGTTGCACCTCCGGTGTTGACCTTTCTGCTGTGTGATTAGCCTGCCCAGATGGGGGGTGTTCTAGGTAAGCCCATAGGTGACTGCCTTCCTGGGACGGACTCTCTGAGAACTGCCCAAGGAGTTTGGCTAAAGATGCTAATCCCCTGAGCAAGATGGGACAGGCCCCTGGGAGCTGTCTCTGTGGGGAGTGCCCTGCAAGAGCTCCACTTGCCCCCTTTCCTGTTGCGGCAGACTTTCCCTCTCCTTCTCTCTCTGCCTTGTGTTGCTGATTTCTCTACCTTTCTGTTGACCTCTTCTCCCCTCTTTCTTTCTGCTGCCCTTTCTTGCTCCCTAGTTCCTGCTTCCCTCCCCCCTCCTTTCTTCACTACTCCCTTCTTCCCGTCCCTTCCCTTTTACTTTCTCCCCCCTCCCAGTGACCCTGGACAGACACGCCCCCGCCCCATTCCCTGTCACCCAGGATCCCCCCGAGTCAGAGCCACCACTAACTTCTATCCATTTGGTTTTAGAACTAAGCCGCCCTTTCTCCAACGTGCTCACCAGCTGAGCTTATTTCCTCCTGGGGAGCAGCCGTTTGACCCAGACCCCCCTTCATCATGGAACAAATGTGATGAGCACACAGCCCAACTTCTTCTGGGACAATTCCAATGTCAGATCGCCATTTCGGGTTGACCCCCAAAGTACTATCACACATGTGAGAAACCGTAATGTGCATGGTTCGCAGGTGTGGGAAAGAATGGTTAATGTCATTAGAACTGAACCATATGTTGGAGATCTACCTTCCTACCTACCTTCCTTCCTTTCTTTTTTCCTTCCTTTCCTTCTTCCTTTCTCTTTCTTTCTTTTACCTTGGTTTAGCAGTAGCTTCTGCCGTCCTCATAATGGGTAGGACAGCTCCTGGCAACAGATTTGCAGGGCTGGGCGGGGGGAGTCTCCTGTCGCTGTGGAAAGAACATCATGCCGGTGAGCAGCTCTCCACGCCCGGATTATGTGATGTGCTTTGTGGTGTTATTCAGCCACTGAATAATTCAGCGCAGGCCGTATTTTGCTCTCTATAGTTGTGTGGTGTGTCGTGGTGTGGTAAAGTGTGTTATTTATTATTAACACGGTTGGAGGGGAAGTCAGGAGTTACCATATATAACCAGAGGATCAAGAGAGGCAGAAAAAGCAAATGACTCATAAACTGTATATTCAAACAGGAGCCATGGGAGAAGGAGCAGGTCCAAACGATTGGTCTGGAAAACTCCAAATAAGACCACAAAGAAAATCCAGGCCAGACAGTGCTCAGAACGGCTGCGGTCAGGTCCTCCCCTTGGACATGAGCTGGGGGAAGTCCAGGCCGAGTTATAAAGTGTGTGCGTTATAAAATATACATCGACATACAGCTTTATTAATTTCAAGCATGAATCTAGAAGCGTCCGTGAGAGTCCTTGGGGGAACTGTTGTAGTGAGCAGATAGGAAGCTGTTTGAATCAGCAAATGCTGCTATTCAAGTGGGTGCCTTGAACGTGAGCGGGAAGGTCTTTGAGGACAGTTCTCCCCAGGTCTGGGCTATGTTGTGTCTCTATCTCCCACACTATGCAGTGATGGCGCTCCTTCACCTTTGAGCCCTCAGCACCCAGACTGGCACCTCACATGCAGAAGGAGCCCAGTGCATGTTACTGGAATAAAAGAATGAATTAAGCAGGCACAGAGTAAGGGCTGTTGGTTAAAAAAAAAAAAAAAAAAGGCAAACTTATATTTCAGAGTTCCCAAATTCTCCCTTAGTGATGTATTCCTTTGAATAAACCTGTCTCTGGCACTGTCTTTGAAAATTAATCCCCAGAGGGGAAGCGCTTTGAATCATAAACTCCTTCCCAGTTCGGAATGATGGGAGAACATTCTCTTGAGAAAAGCAGGGAGTAGGACCATCAGAGCAATCTGGGCAGCTGGGTGGGAAAGGGAGCCTGCAGGAGGGGGAGGGGGCCGGCTCAGAAGGAGAGAGAAGGCCGCGAAAGCAGAGTATACACTCCTGCGATAGCTGAGAAGCCTTCCCAAATGCCGCCCACAGAGCATCACTGCAGATGAGCTGGTGGAGAGGGCCCATGTCCTCTAGGGCCAGCTCAGTGCCTCGAGCCCTCTGGCTGGGGCCCCTTGCCCGCCTTCCCAGGGTGGGCCCAGAGGGCTGGGAGAGGCAGTAGTACCTTTAGCAGTCACAGTCCTGCAAGGTGGGCAGTGTTGCACCCACTGTCTAAGCCTGTCCTGGGGAGAGGACCGAGTCAGAGGGGCTGAGGGCGGCTGGGCCAGGAGTCCTCCCAGGTACTGACCCTGAGTCAGGCCCATAGTCACAGCACAAAGGGCTTCATTCAGCTTCTGCTGCCTGGACCCTGCTGCACATCAAGTGCTTATCATCCGGTCGATATCCACCTCACACTCCACCTCCTCCTTGAAGCCTTCCTGGATAGCCCCCTTAACTGCACATTCTGTAAGAAGTGTCTGCACGGAGGGCTGTTTCTATCATTTCATACACAGTCAGCTCTCCAGCAAGTGCACATGAACTTCTCCGTGTTTGCTCAGGCATTCCCCAGATCCCGAGAACTGGCCTGGACCATCTGTGCAAGCATCACTGGGGTCCTCCAGACCCTCCTGCTCCAGATACAACCCACAGATGGCCTGGCTGGTCAGTCTCATCGGCCACTCTCCCAGATTCTGTACAGCCTCGACCCTCCTGGGCCGTGGTGCGATGGCAAGAGGCAGTGCACAGAGCACTCTCTCTGAGGTCCAGAGCAGAGCTGGCTCAGGCTGCTGCCCATCCAAGTTGCCCGTGCCTGGGACAGCACTGACCCTGCATTGCCAGCCTTCCAGGCTGGGCTGAAGGGGACTTCCCAAGTGGGAGGGTAGCACCAGCCGTGGGAGAAAAGAGCCAGCCCCCAACTGATGACACAGGAGACTCTGCCCCACTGAAGAGGGAGCTGGGTGCGTGTCCAGGGCCTGGGCCAGAGCCCTGCACTCCGGGTGCGATCTGCATGTGTGTCTAGCAGGTACTGTGCGGTGTGGGCCTTGGGGCAGTGACGTTTCAGAGCTGCGCTTCAGTATAGCACTTATTAGGCTGTAGTCAGTTGTTTATAGTTGTTTCAAGATGGTGTATAATCAGGCAATAAATTGCGCTGCACAAATGGCGAGTGCACCAGGGGCTCAGCGTGGAGGTCAGAGGTGCTTCTGTGGAAGGGCAGGACCTGGCTGGGATCTCGGCAGGTGATGGCCACAGCCAAGTGCTGTAAAGGCTGACTGTGTGCCCGGCACTGTTCTGGGCGCCTGCACCTGTTCCTGCCCTCAGTCCTCACCCTCCAGTGTTTGAGGTGGGTCCTGTCAGTGCCTTCCTTTTCCAGATGAGGAAACTGAGTCACCACTTAGAGGTGGTGGCTGTTGGAGCTGGCATACAGCATATCCTCCCCTCGAGTCTCAGGGCTAAGGCTGTGCAAGACAGACGGCTGCTGCTTCCTGGGCTGTGGACAGGTCAGCCTGGGTAGGGTTCAGTGTCCTACTCCATCTTTAGGGTCTCTCCTCTCCCCACCCCCATCTTCTGTGTCATTCTCCTACCTCCCCCCCATCCCATGCTTAGTGCTTTCTTGATTTATTGATTGCTACCCCTGACAAATGCTTCCTTCTACCAGCTCCTGGACATGCTACATTTCAGAGAGGAGCCCTTGGGGGCAAGGCTACCCCAGGGGAAAGAATTTTCCATGGACTTGGAGGTGTGGTGACTGTTGTTGAAGGCCTGCGTCTGGGCCCCTGACTTGTGGGTGCGGGCTGGCTTAGCATAAGCCTCTCTGGTCAATTTTCAAGTCTGTGGGAAAGGACAAAAAAATAAAAAATAAAAGATGGATGGAG